GTACATATTTGTACCACGGTGACAACACACCCTTGGGAATTTCTGCCTTCACGATCAGTGGCTTTACATCTAGTTAAAAAGGCTGCTCGTACTGAAGGAAATCATCTCAAAAGTCCCAATACGTGTAACTAAGAATTTCTTCTACTAAAAATCCAGGAGGTAAAACCACGACAGTGCAAACAACACATGTAGGGGGGTGGGGGTGGGGGGTGGCGAAGGGGAGGGGAGAAAAAAGAATGATGAATCTCCATTAAATGGAAAACTGGTTCTTTGAAACGATCAATTGATACATCTTTAGCAGGAAGGGCAAAAGAGGGAGGAAAGAAGGTATAAATAGCAGGGATGGCAGAAGAGATTTCACTACAGACTCGGAGAACAAAAAGAACAACATGGTCAGACTGCAGTCAGCTCCATGAAAATAAATGCTACACCTTAGTTGAAATGGACCAGTTGCTAGAAAATTGTAAGCCACCAAAATTCACCCAGGATGAAGTAGCGTAGACAGTCCTCTATCGTTTACAGAAACTGAACTGGTAGTTGAAAGAAAGAAAGAGAGAGAGAAAGAGAGAAAGAAAACCTTTGCAAAACGATCTCCAGGCCCAGAGAGTCTTCCTGGCCAATTCTAACAAACATTCAATGAAGACATCACACCAATTGTACACAATCTCTTCCAGAAATCAGAGCAGAGGGAACACTTGCAAGTGATGCCATGAAGGTAGTATTGTACTGATACCTGGAAAACTTCAGACTGGTGCTTTATCAGCAAAAGCCCCAAATTCCTCAACAAAATACACAAGAGCTCCAACCCAGCAGTATGTGAAAAGAATCACAAACCACAACCAAGTGGGTTTCACACCGGGAATGCAAAGGTAGTGCTTTCTCTTGCCAAAAATCAACATAATCCCACAGAGGTTGAGGTCAGGCAAAGAAGAAAAATGACAGCATGATATGAAGGTACGAAGGAAAGCCATTTGACAAGACACAAAATCCACTGATGATATGAAATCCTCTGACACACAGGGAATGGAAGACCACTCCCTGAACCTGCTAAAGGGTATGTGCCCCCAAACCTGCAAGGTCAAGAATGGAATGCTTTCTCTGTAAGGCTGAGAACAAGGTCAGGGTGGTGACTCTCACCACGACTGTTTGATGTCACCCTGGAAGTCCCAGACAGGGCACTGATGTCAGGAAAGGGAGCAGCACACAAATGAGAAAGGAAGAAATCAAATTGCCCCTTGGCGTAGATCTCATGACCGTGTATGCTACATGGAACACCCCAACGTATCTCTGCTCAAACCCCTAGAACTAATAAGTGCATTTAGCAACGATGAAAGAGACAAGGTCAACACATGGAAAACCACCGTGAGTGTCACAAACTGAAACTGAAAAGCAACACACAAGGGAATAGGTACGTACGAAACCAACGACAACAACAAAAAATTTACAGGAAGTGCCTGCAGAACACCTTAAGATCCTAATGAAAGAAATCAAAGAGGACCTAATTCGATGGAGAGAAACAATGCGTCCATGACGTGGAAGAGTCCATGTGGTAAAATAGTTAATTATCCCCAAGTTGTTCTGTAGAACTAATGCAATCAATTCCCATCGAGATCCTGGCAGGAGTT